CCCCGTCCCCGTCCCCGTCCCCGTCCCCGTCCCCGTCCCCGTCCCCGTCCCCGTCCCCGTCCCCGTCCCCGTCCCCGTCCCCGTCCCCGTCCCCGTCCCCGTCCCCGTCCCCGTCCCCGTCCCCGTCCCCGTCCCCGTCCCCGTCCCCGTCCCCGTCCCCGTCCCCGTCCCCGTCCCCGTCCCCGTCCCCGTCCCCGTCCCCGTCCCCGTCCCCGTCCCCGTCCCCGTCCCCGTCCCCGTCCCCGTCCCCGTCCCCGTCCCCGTCCCCGTCCCCGTCCCCGTCCCCGTCCCCGTCCCCGTCCCCGTCCCCGTCCCCGTCCCCGTCCCCGTCCCCGTCCCCGTCCCCGTCCCCGTCCCCGTCCCCGTCCCCGTCCCCGTCCCCGTCCCCGTCCCCGTCCCCGTCCCCGTCCCCGTCCCCGTCCCCGTCCCCGTCCCCGTCCCCGTCCCCGTCCCCGTCCCCGTCCCCGTCCCCGTCCCCGTCCCCGTCCCCGTCCCCGTCCCCGTCCCCGTCCCCGTCCCCGTCCCCGTCCCCGTCCCCGTCCCCGTCCCCGTCCCCGTCCCCGTCCCCGTCCCCGTCCCCGTCCCCGTCCCCGTCCCCGTCCCCGTCCCCGTCCCCGTCCCCGTCCCCGTCCCCGTCCCCGTCCCCGTCCCCGTCCCCGTCCCCGTCCCCGTCCCCGTCCCCGTCCCCGTCCCCGTCCCCGTCCCCGTCCCCGTCCCCGTCCCCGTCCCCGTCCCCGTCCCCGTCCCCGTCCCCGTCCCCGTCCCCGTCCCCGTCCCCGTCCCCGTCCCCGTCCCCGTCCCCGTCCCCGTCCCCGTCCCCGTCCCCGTCCCCGTCCCCGTCCCCGTCCCCGTCCCCGTCCCCGTCCCCGTCCCCGTCCCCGTCCCCGTCCCCGTCCCCGTCCCCGTCCCCGTCCCCGTCCCCGTCCCCGTCCCCGTCCCCGTCCCCGTCCCCGTCCCCGTCCCCGTCCCCGTCCCCGTCCCCGTCCCCGTCCCCGTCCCCGTCCCCGTCCCCGTCCCCGTCCCCGTCCCCGTCCCCGTCCCCGTCCCCGTCCCCGTCCCCGTCCCCGTCCCCGTCCCCGTCCCCGTCCCGTCCCGTAATCCATTCGGCATGAAAGTGTGTCAGAGGTTCGTTAATACGGAAGGAGAAAATGCCAACGGAGAAAGCGAGGAAGCGACATGCGGTATGGCAGGGAGGGTGCCGGCCGGTGATGTCATGTGCCATATGTCGAGGGGAGAGCCGGGCCCGCCGCGACGCCCCTGAGCTCCTGTGGGTGATTTATGTGGTTAGTGCATTGGGGAGTAGGCCGAGATTTCAGACGTGCACCGTTTTATTCGTTATGAAATGGGTAGGTATCTCACTCGGAGGAAGTAAGCATGTGATAGGAATTTCCAACAGCAAATAGTGATGATAACGATAATGTCAAAGTCAAAACCTCATAGGAGATAGTTCGTGGTGTGCCTTTCCAAGCGAACGTGATGTGGCATTTCCCTTGTCCTCCCCCGAAAGACGTGACCGGTAGAGTCTGCGGTTCTGTCCCCGGCCGCCTGGTGTCAACGGGTGGCCCGCGGGAGGTCGCGGTGGTGGTGACAGTGGTCAGCGCCGAGGGGCTTCGTTTTTTTTTTCTTTTTTTTTAATGAATCACAAAATAGGAAGCGACATTAGTGATCTTGGGAGGAAGCACAAGTCTTAATGCATTTATATATAGATTTCAATAAAAATATCTAACATAGAAGAATTATTTATTAATTTATTACATAAAATGACGATAATCACAGACCTGCCCGTCGCCCATCCGATTGCAAAGAAAATTTCCACTAAAGGAAGTACCGGTAATTATGCCAAGTTGCGTATCTTACATTGCAGGAAGTTTCCATGACGAGTGACAGTCTTGGTATCAACTTCATCTCCCCCAACCCCCTTTCCTCCTCCCTCCCTCTTTCCCCTCCTCCTGCCACCCTCTTTTCCCCCACACCCTTGCTACTTCATTGATTCGAAGCCATTCCCCCACCCACCCCTCCCCACGACCCCGTCCCCGTCCCCGTCCCCGTCCCCGTCCCCGTCCCCGTCCCCCATCTCTGCTCCTTGCTCCGCCCCAGTCTTCGTATTTGCAAATATGCTTCAGCCTCAGATTTTTGCTTATGCTGTATTGGTGTTTGCGACATTCATCGTTTTTAGCTTGAGAGGTTTTACGACTGTTGTAATAATACGATGACCTTGTGTTCATGTGATCGAAAAATTGGAAAACAGGGGACTAAGATATAAGAAGGATATTGGAATATATTAAGGATAAGAGAAGAAGCAACGAAAGAAAAATTAAAAGTGGCTTTAGGGAGTATATGTAAATTGAAAGAGGGAAGAATTTTGCTCCAGAATATAAGACATTGGAAATCAAAGGGAAATGGCGTAAAGAGTGGGTGGAAGGGATAGCTAGCGAGGTCAGGAGCATCTGAATAATCGAGAGAGACTGGCTCGGCCAAGTTAAAGGTGGGAGTGAGGCGTAGGCGTGAGCATATGGTACAGGAAAATTGTTTTAAGGAGTTGTATTTATAACCGGATTCCAGTTGGCGTTCGTGGTGAGACACATTACAAACGTATCCACGATCTCTCAACTCTTTCACATTCGCTCCAGGTTTCGCTGGTCTTATGTACCGGATACTTGGGATTTTCTCTCATATAAATAAGTAAAAATGGAAATTAGGGAAAAAATCCCAGATTTCGATTTATTTTTTGCTGCTTAGATGACGAAGGAGAGTGTTGCATGTTTGGTAGAATAAGAATAATTCTCCATTATGACAGTTGCTGAAAATTAGAGTGAGCACGTTGTCCATTCATTCTATGAGCACTTCCCATCCTAATACAGACCCTATAGACTGTTTCACGTTACAGCGAAATCTTCCAATGCCACAGCTACAGAATCAATCCTAGCTTTTGTCGTTTGTTTGGCTTTATTAGCAGACTCTCTTTTCATGACTCCATATTTTTCCCATGCCTGTGTCTTTTGGCGTTACCCTCCTTTATTTATTTATTTTTTATTATTATTATTTTTTGCTCTCTCCACCCTGTAATTGGTTTATAAACAAGGTTGGGAAACTATAAATATAGTCCAAGATGTACGATCCTCCTTTTTGTATACAAGACTTCAGGTTCTGGAATTGTTACATTATTATTATATCAGTTATTACAGATCAAAATTATAGCAGTCATTACAAATCCTGTCAATTTTCTGAAATGGTAGGTTAGGCTTAGAAGTAATATGTACACCCAAGTCATAGCCGCCTGTACTTCCCTTCCGCTGTGACTTTTCGCTGTCGGTCATTACTCGTGTACTTTTGACGTTTGGTAGAAAATTTTAATGTTGAGGATCTATTGGAAATGTGTGCGCAAAAGATTTATGTGGTTTACAGAGTTGTTCTTTAATGCAGGTTCGAGGAAAATGCAAATCATTCCTTCATTGAAAATTTGGTACTAGGAAAGGGGAAATCGAAATGTAGTTTATCGGCTCTACTAGGAATATTTGTAGTGTGACATTAAGAGAGAGGAGCCTTTCCACCTTGCAATTCTCCTCTTCATACTCCCAGGTAAGAGAGAGAGAGAGAGAGAGAGAGAGAGAGAGAGACTTGTCGGTTGTTTGAAGCTGCTCCTGTTTTGGTAGTTTTTCGAGGTCGGAGCGACATTATCACGAAAATGTGGGGCTTTCCGCAAATGGCTGACGCCCTGACACGTGACTTCCCGTCTCACGAGCTTTATTTTTTCTGTTCTTATTTTGATGGTATGGGTGTTCGTTGACTTTTATCCGGAAATTAAACGTCGATGTACAACGGAAGGAAAGTCTGCTTTGACACTTCATTGGCTGTTTGGAGGACGTAATTTGTTCTTTAATAAACTTCTAATTCAACATCCCCCCTTTACCCCCCCTATTTTATCTATTTATATCTTGCAGTCACATCAACTTCCTTCCCTTCCTCCCACCTGCCCTTCCTTTCGTTTAGTGCAAGTCGCGATGTGTGTGTAAATGGAAGTATTGCCAGCCTCTTTCCTCTCGGGGGAATATGGTCCTGCAGGGAAGCTCCTGAATTGCACCGTCACGTCTCCGCCCTTCTATGCCCACGCTATAAAAGACCTCCATTCTCTATGAAAAGAAACCTGTGGCCACTGTGGTCCGGGGGCAGCCCCATGATTCCTGGGTTTAGTTTCGTGGCTCTGCTCTCATTTTTTTTTTTATCCTCGGGGGCAAATTTGAGATATGAATGACCTGTAGTGGTCAAGGAGTCTTAACTACTCTCTTACGAACCTTTCGGATTTTCCCAAGGGGCAGGGCACCTGGGTGAAGCCGGGATCAGCTGAGCTGTATTGCTTTTGTCAGCACAGCGATTCACAGCCTGTCTCTGTTTGAGCTTGGGTTTGGAAGAGGAGGAACCCCGCGGTGGAACAAGCGGCTGATTGTATCCAGTCCAGTCCCACGGCCTGTGGAGGACGGGCAGCTAGTCATGGCGACGAGTCTAGGGCATTGGTCGCTCGCAATGTGTAGGAGATTACTATTGAGTGGAACTGTGTTTTATTGTGTGTAATCTTTTAACTGGTTAATTTAATTTGGTCTTGCAATCGAAGGAGCGGCATACTACAATGTTTCTTATATGTTGATAATATGATAATTGAATCACTTGTCCCTGTTAGTTAGTCAACTGATTATGCTGATTGTAATACTTTAGATTCAGAACTGAACATGGTCAGGCTGCCTACTATAAGAAGCTTTACGATACAATTGTACTCGTACGGTTTTATGAACGTCGAGTGCGAGAGGCTCGTGGCGTCAGCTTTGGCGTGACGACCAGACACACGAGACGGATCACATAGATCGTGACCGGACGTTCTCAGAAGGGCCGACCCGGACTTTAATTGACCGCCTTGTCGTTTCCCGTCCGCATAAAATCCAATAGAAAGTACAAAGTTTACATTACCTTTGAAAGTTTCTTATGATATATTTTCTTGTCACTTTTAGGAGTGGACGTGACCGCCAACCAAGAAGAGATCTCAGACCACGAAAAATTCCAGCTGGAATATGATGCTGCTACCAAGCGCTGGTACGTGCGCACTATGCAAGACAAGTACTGGACCCTGGAGGCTGGCGGTGGCATCCAGGCTAACGCCAACAAACCGTGAGTATTGTATTAAAGAGTTTTGTTCATAGGGGCACTACAAGTTTTTCTTACATGATACTAGTTTAACACTAATAATTCACTCTCGATATATGAAATGTGTTAGGTTGAATAATTATCTGGGGAACTCCTGACAATATCCTCTTTAATTACAGGACATCAAACGCACTCTTCACCTTCCACTGGCAAGCAGATGGGTCAGTGGCATTCCAGGCAAACAACGGCAAGTACATTGCAACCAAAAAGTCTGGCCATCTCTTCGCCAACGCAGATTCCCCTGACGATGAGAGCGCCCGATTCTACTTCTACCTTATCAATAGGTAAAGAGACATTAAGGATTTATCAGTAGAATGAATGATTTTTTTGTTTTTTCATGTGACAGTGTAACATTTGTTTAGTACTTATGGGTGCATTAATGTATATGAAACCTTGAGACTTCATACCATTCTTGATTAATATTATTAGGGTTAAATTTTATTGTGAATGACCATGCAAATATTTACACAGTACTGTCGATTGGTAACAATTATTTACGAAGAAGTTAATAAACAGTAGGAATGTATTTCTAGTGAACTGATAAGTAATTTACCATTCTTCAACAGGCCAGTGTTGGTGCTCAAGGGAGAACAAGGCTTTGTTGGCTATAAGGTAAATACGTTGAAGATGGAGTGTAATAAAGCCAACTACGAGACTATCCGTGTTGAGAAGGGTGACCAAGGACAAGTATTCTTCAGAGGTAAGCTAATCAATTTTTTCTTCTTTTGCTTGGTAAGAAATACAGACTTATGTGCCGTTATTTACTTCTACTTGTGTTTTACAAAAGAAGAAAAATCAGTTTTATTGTATTCTTATTTTTTCACTTCTTGTAATCAAATGATCTTTGCCTTTTATGCATATCGATCTTTATTATGACAATTATAAATGGGCCTGTTTCTAGACTGCCTGTTCTGAGGGATATAAAAAGTAGAAGATACTGGTTTTGGTTTGCTTTAAGTGTATTTACACATGACAGACAGACTGGTTGGTTATCTGACTTAATATCTATTAAATGTAAAATGGTAACAAAGATTTTAGTACATACACCTTCTTTCTATAAACCTTGTTGATCTTTTTATAACTTGATAGAAAATGTTTTATTCATAATCATGTACCTTTCAGGTCAGCAGGGTGGTTACTGGCATGCATGTGGAGATGGCATCATGGCAGACTCTGAGGTTCCAGAAGGATTCTTTATTGAACTTCGTGAAGCCACAAGGATGTGCTTGAAGAACTCCTCTGGTCAATATATTGTTACTGAGAAAAATGGAGGCTTTAAACTTGGGGACACAGATCCCTCAAGGGCTACCCTATGGGAGTTCTAAATCACTTGGCCAGTTATCTATAAAACTAGGGAGCTAGGTTGATCCTGCCATGTCGGAATCTGCTCCATACTATTAAAGTTAAAAAAATATTTACATTAATGCTGAAGACCTGGCAACAAAGTCGATTTATATGCACAAGGTCTTAAGCTGATAGACAGAGTGTCAGTGTCCATGTAAATTAGCAAGGAGATAGGCTGTCAGATCCCTGTCTTGTTGCTATTTTCATCCCTTTTTTAAAAAACATTTATTCAAGGTGTATTGAAGTAAATGCTCATTTTTCTCCTAAGCCCCTTGAGTGAAATTTGTATTGATTATTTTCTAAAGGAATGTATGATGTGAGTGTATACCCCAGACCTAGATTATGTATAAATTAAAGATCATCTACATACTTGTTGAATTTGTTCAGATAGTTTGAGTTTGATTAAAGAAATTTTATCACTGATTTTGGTGGTCATTTAGTGTTGGTTAGACGATAAAGACAGTCAAAGCATATGTACTACCTAGTCGTAAGGTCATAATCATGAGTGTTTAACAAATACCACCCTTATATCACCGGAAAACTACTCAATTCATAGTATAAATTTCAAGTTACTGGCAAGGTTTAATTTTTTCATTAGTCTTTGCCATATCATAATTTCATTGGAAGTCTGGAAAAATTAATGATTGGAGATTGTATGCAACCAAAGTTTTTATATCAGTGTTTGTACAAGTAACTAAGCTGGTAGGTGATGCTGTATGTAAATATTGTCATTATTGACATTGCTTCCATGAGTCTCTAGGCTAAGTCAGATAACTTGTACTTAATTTCTACTTTTTTACTGTTTCTACTTGTAACTGTTGTCCTTTCATTTCTTAAAAGGAAATTATCTGTACTGGAAAATACTTATGTTTGCAAATTATGCTGAATAATAGCACACTTTCATTAATATGTTACATACAAATCAGTGGGATAGTTACACCCCAGCAATAAGCACAAGTTAGATCATTCAGCAGTTGATAATGTCGCTTGCTTAGTCCTAGGCTGCTGGTAGTCCTCAACTTACCAGAAATTAGTGGGTACAGGTGCATGAATTTCAAAGTGCCCAATATTGTCTGTAATAATAAGCATAAAAAACAGTCACCAAGTTCATTTCCTTTCATTCTGTAACAAACTCAGACCAGGAATATGACAATCTTATTCTAAACAACAAAAGGTAATCAGAGACTTTTGGAGGCAACAGTAAAAAGAACAGACCATGGACAAAGTTATGCAAGGCTGTTCATGGTTTCCAACCCTAACATATATAGTGGATTCCACTTGTGTATTTTGCTGTAAGCACCTTCTAGGTTGCACACTTTGGTCTTGCCAGCAGCCTCCTTGCTCTTGGTGTTATCCCCGCAGCCTAAGGCAGCGGTAACCAGCCAATGCATTTATGGAAGGAAAGCCCGACCCAGGACAGTTCGTGGCCCATCCCTCCAGAGAGAGAGCCCCAGCTGTGCCCACCTACGCTACACCTGCCCATGTGCCCTGCTTTGTGTTGCACCTCCTTTAACACATGTTCTCTCTTGTCCCTGTTAACCAACAAGTAACCAACAGGTTTAGGCTTGTGCTAAATACATCATAGGATATTACTGCAAACTACCTGTGTATGTATTATTTGGCATTTTATTTGGCTAAGGAATGACTTATGTTGATGTTATAGTATTGCTGTTGTAAACGATGTCTTCTATGAAGTATAAGATGTAGCAGTACCATTATCAACAGAAAGGATGGCTTAATTTTGCCTGGCAGTTTTAATCTACCTGTGATAAACACTGCCAAGAACAGGCATTCTTGGGTGTGGTCATAAGTGCGTCCGTCAGCACAGCTGGTTGCAAATTGCCTCCGTTCCTTTCATGTTCTTGTCTGTCGTAGTGAATGCAAAATTAGTTTGTATTTAATAGTCCTTTGTATGATGCGCTTTAGATTGTAGGGTACACATTATTTTATTTATTGCATTATTGTATAGCATATCATATAAACGGCTTCTTAATAAAATAAGCAAATTACTTGTAATTGTTTTGTTTTCCTTTTGTATTTAATTGCGAAATGATTTTGAATATCTGCACTGAATCTATTTACTCCCTTTGGCGGCAGTGTTACCTCATTTGAAAAGCAAATTTGTATGAGTAATATTGGTGGACTCCAGACAACAGGTAATTCAGATTAAGAATATATAAATGAAAGGAGATACAATGGAACTGAGTTTTTTATCTTAATTTACTGTCATTTATCAGCATCATACAGAAATTAGCACAAAGAGTATCTTGAATGGAGTTAAGTTCATTATGACTGATGCACAAAGAAGTATAATAAAAATGAATAGTGCAAGACGTGTATCTGAGGTTGATGGCTGATTGTTAGTGAGTAATGATTAAAACAAATGTGCTAGACATTAATGGTTATATATTACTACCTAAGGTATTGTAGTGAAAGGAGTAATGAGTTAGTTATTAAAACAAAATGTGTTAGATGCCAAAGGTCATAGAGCACTATAGGATAGTATGGTACTGAAAAGGATAAAGAAGAAATGGAGGTTATCTACAGGTCTGGGGGGAAAATGGGAATTCCATGAGGATGTGCAACAAAATGGGAAGAGAGGACAGGTGAGGAAAAGCAGAAGTATAGACTGTGAAAGAAGAAAGATTGAAAGAGGAACATTGCATGAGGAATACAGTGTGGAAGAGCCATTATCAAGCAATCAATGGGTAATATAGGTAAAAATGGGTGTTGGAGAAGTAGGAGAACTCAGAAATGAGACAAGACCACAGGAAGGAGGCAAAGTATTAGGAACGTTGAGGGCAGAAAGATCTGAAGAACACTTGTGACAAAAGAGAGCAGAAGGGCTAATGGGAAAGAAAGGGGTGGAGTGTAAATGAAGGGGAGGATGCATTGTGTTGGGAGAATGTGAGGAAGAAGGGTAGGGGGATCATGAGGATTGAGGATGGATGGCAGCAGTTGCTTTGAATGTAGAGGGAGTAGAGAGTGGATGTGGGAGAGAAGCATTCTCTTGGTTCATGTTTAGGAAGTTCTGGATGTCCTCAGGAGTTCCCGGAGGAGAGTTGGGTGGAGAGGCCTGAGAAACGATGGAGCAGAGGAAGAAGTAAGAGAATGTGCTAGATGAGGTGGGATGTTTAGACTAGCCGGTGTGACAGGTAAAGTGAGGAGGAGGGGCAGACATCAATGAAGTGGGAGAGTTGGATTATA